AACCGACTGCGCCACCCAGGCGCCCCAAAAAAATTGTTTTTAAAAGAAGGTTATAAGACTTGATTTTGGAAAAAAAGAAACTTCAGAATGGGCCCCGTTGTTTTCTTCTTAGGCAGTGGGAACTCTGTAGCAACTCCAGATAATAATGGATTTGGTTCTCTTCTGGATGCCTGAATAAATACTAAACGTATGGCCATTTTTCTAAAAGTTATGCCTTGTGTTATATAGGAGTATTTTTTAAATTGTTCTCACATTCATAAATTAAACTAGGCCCTCACAGGCTAGCATGGGTTATGTGAAAGAAGATATGTATATGTTCCTACAGCTAAGGTATGTGCTACATGTTTTGTGTTCTCAATCCTATATATTTAAAATGTGTGTTTTGGGGGCACCTGGGTGGCTCAGTTCGTTGAGCATCCAACTTCAGCTCAGGTCACGATCTCACAGCTTGTGTGTTCGAGCCCGGCATCGGCCTCTGTGCTGACAGTTCAGAGCCTGGAGCCTGCTTCAGATTCTGTCTCCCTCTCTCTGCCCCTCCCCTGCTTGTGCCCTCTCTCTCTCTCCTTCTTTCTCTCTCTCTCTCTCTCTCTCTCAAATATAAATAAATATTTTAAATCTTCATTTAAATAATGTGTTTTTTATTTAAAAATTTTTAAAAATATTTTTATCAAAGTGTGTTGACATAGTGTTAAATTAGTTTCAGGTGGACAACACAGTAATTCAACAAATCTGTATGTTATGCTATGTTCAAAAGTGTAGCCACCATCTGTCCCCATACAACATTATTGGCATACCATTGACAATATTCCCTATGCACAGTCATCTCTGTGACTTACTCATTCCATAAGTGGAAGCCTGTATCTCCCATTCCCTTTCATCCATTTTGCCTATCTCCTCACCCCCTCTCCTCTAGCAGCCATCAGTTTGTTCTCTGTTTCCATGGGTCTTTTTCTGCTTTTTTTTGTTTATTCATGTTTTTATATTCCACATATAAGTGAAATCATAAGGTATTTATCTCTCTCTCTGACTCATTTCACTTATTATCATACCCTCTAAGTCCATCCATGTTGTCACAAATGGCAAGATCTCATTCTTTTTTATGGCCACGTAATATTCCATCGTATATAGACCACATTTCTTTATCCACTCACCTATCAATGGACACTTAGGTTGCTTCCATCTCTTGGCTATTGTAAATAACGCTATAATAAACTAGGGTGCATGTATCTCTTTTTGAACTAGTATTTTCATTTTCTTTGGGTAAATACCTAGTGTTGGAATCACTAGATTATATGGTATTTCTATTTTTCATTTTTGGAGGAATCTCCATACTGTTTTACACAGTGACTACACCAATTTACGTTCCCACAAACAGTGCACGAGGGTTCCTTTTTCTCCATATCCTTGCCAACACTTGTTGTTTCTTGTGTTGTTAATGTTAGCCAGTCTGACAGGTGTGATATGATAGATCATTGTAGTTTTGAATTGCATTTCCCTAATGATGAGTGATGTTGAGTATCATTTCATGTGTCTGTTTGCCATCTGGATGTCTTCTTTGGAAAAATGTGCATTCAAGTCCTCTGCCCAAAGCTTGAATTTTTTTTAATGCTTTTTTTTTGTTGAGAGAGAGACAAAAAGTGAGCAGTGGAGGGACAGAGAGAGAGAGAGAGAGAGAGAGAGCACCCCAAGCAGGTTCCAAGCTGTCAGCACAGAGCTCTATGCAGGCCTCCATCTTACAAATCTTGAGATCATGACCTGAACAAAAGTCAAGAGTTGGACACTTAACCAATTGAGCCACCCAGGCACCCCCAAAACTCGTATTTTTTAAATGGTAAGATGAAATTTTAAAAATAAACTTTAAAGTATATTAACCCATACTCCTGCTTTTTTCATGCAGAATTATACCATGCAGGAAAAAGACGTCATTACTCACAAACCCTTTGGAGCTGAGGGAAACCGTCAAAACACAACAAGCTTTAGAAGACCATTTAAGGTATTAAGTGTTATTTTCCATTTAATTCTAGCTTTGGGTTTATGCTTTGAACATAATGTTCTAAGTGTTAGTAAATTAAAAGCTGCTTTTGTGATATTTCAAATAGTGACTATACACTAAGATTCCTGGACATACATTTATAGTTAACTGTAATCAGTTTAATGGTAACCTTTTTCCTCGGAACTTGATTTTCAATTTTTTTTTTTTTACCAGTGGAATCCTTTTTCAAATATTATATGGAAAGCACAAATGCATAAAACAGACACAGATGAAGTGGCTCTAGATGAGGAGGCAGACAAGGTTCAAGACCTTCCCTTTACGCCTGCCCCTTTACCTCTAAGGTGTAAATGCATAGCTCTGTGAACCTTCTCCAAGGTTCACAGACTGAAAAATCCTGCCCATAGGTGTACAACCCTCAGAGGCCTTCTGCATCATCTCAGAAAGATTCTGGTCCAGCAAGCTTTGTTCAAGCCTATTTCATCACATTCTAATGATTTGTACAGCTATGTCTAATGTGATTGTTTGATTATTCAAAACACCTCATCACACAGATATATGGAATAAGAATTATAGTGTGAAGTGCTGTATTTCTCTCCTTGTTCTCAGAAGTTGACATGCTTTTAAATCCATTTTGACTAAATTTCCTGCTTATGTAATAGGTACATCATTAATATTTTTAACTCTATAGCGTCTTTTCCCCTCCCCCTTGAAAGAAAGGAAAATAATCTAGGTTTTTTGGTGAAAGTAGCAGGCAGACCTGATAGACTGGTTAGCTCATTCGGAGGAAGTTAATATTAGCATAAAGGTAGTATAAACTGTCCCCAAACCATAGACTAGGAGGTAGTTATGAGTGGTCCTCTTTCAATGCCTGGCTTGTTGAGAGGCATAATTCTAGACGTCCAAAGATTGTTTTCATTTGCAGTAACACAATTTGAAAGCATTGTGTAGGTAACATTTTTAGCCAGTGTTTCATGTACCTAAAAACAGGTGACATTAGGTTTTTTCAAAAATATTCTATGGCAGTGGCCATAGAATATGTAAACATGTTTTACACCATCTTTTAGTATCTTGACTAATGAGCCATAAAACCACCTGAAAATGTGATGTCTGTTTAACTTCGAGGCAGTATAACTGGGCTGTCCCGTATGAGTGCTTCCTAGGCTTCCTACATGTTTTTCTTCTCATTGGTCAGATATAGTTGATTGTAGTATTTTTCTAAGATTGTTGCAAGGCCTATTTCCTGTTACCCTTTCTTCTTAAGGGAAATTCTTAAATGTTAATTATTTTTAAATGTTTTTCAAAATATATGCAATAAAAACCTTTTGACCAATCGTTTAAAGCTGTGTAATGTTACATGATTGTTTAGAAGTTCATAATTCTTTACAGTAAAATAGAGAGAAGTAATCCTTTCTAAGAAAAGGAACCATTTCATGAAAATTTGTTTTTTACAGGAGTTAGACTAATTCAGAGCCAGATAGTAATCACTTTGTTAGATATGTAAAAACGGACAGTGTAAATTTCAAGATTAGCTCTTATATGTTAAGTTTGTGCAGATAGTTTTAATGAAAGAGTTGTGTCTCATTATAATTCTTTTTTACCTGAATTTTCTGTAGGCTTAAGAAAATAATTGGAAAATAGTCCTGGCATAAATGCTTTTTTAAATAAACTATTATGCTTCATTATGCACAACATACCCATTTGTTCATTAATTGTGGAAACAGGGTTATATTTGGGTTTGATAATTATTCTGTTATAATATACCATTTGTACATTCACCACAGGGAAATCAAACAAATATTCCTTGTCCTCTTATGTCTCTTATAATACTGGGCAGTATGCAGATCAGGAAATGGTCTTTTTCAGTGTAAACTCTTACCATGAAAACATTTGCTGTAATGGGATTTTTATGGTAAAGAAAGATTGACTTTTGAAGGTACTGACAGGAATAAAGAGAGTTTTTTTATTTTTTTTTTCTTTAAAGTTTATTTATTTTGAGATGAGAGAGAGAGAGAGAAAGAGAGACAGAAAGCTGGAGAGGGGAAGAGAGAGGAAGAGAGAATCCCAAGCAGCACCAAGCCTGACATGGGGTTCAGTCTTATGAATCGTGAGATCATGACCCGAGCCAAAATCAAGAGTTGGACGCCCAACCCACTGAGCCCCCCAGGCGCCCCTAGAGAGTTTTTGATTCTTAAATAGATGTTGATACTTAATGTCCTCCCCCAATTGGGGATTTGATATATTACACTGTGAATCAGAAGGATAATTTTAGAAGCCTTTTTTAAATGTTTTGTTTATTTTTGAGAGAGAAAGAGATAGGGAGGGCCAGAGAGAGAGGGAGACACAGAATCTGAAGCAGGCTCCAGGCTCTGAGCTCTCAGCACAGAGCCCAGTGTGGGGCTTGTACCCTTGAACTGTGAGATTATGCCCTGAGCCAAAGTTGGATGCTTAACTGAGATACCCAAACACCCCTAGAAGCTTTTTTTTTAAAGTTTTTATTTATTTATTTGGTCACAGAGAGAGAGAGAGAGAGAGAGAGAGAGAGAGAGGCAGAGAG